GGACGAAACGGCCGTCCAGTGCTTCCAGGTTTTCAATGGTGGTCTAGCTTCAACTGACTCATGATTTCAATCTGTGAACTACAGATTTATTTGTTTTATTCTACGTCATTGCTTCCTAACTAGTTTTAATGGTATATTTTGTCATGTTCTCATTATGTGATATTCGGTCCCGTTTCAAGTATCCATCCATTTCAACATCACCATCCAAACCTTTTTTTAAATTATGTTGATAACTGTGATTTCAGTCTGTTTAGAGCTGATGAGAAACCGTGAAATAGGATGGATTCATTTTATTCTCAAAACCTTGTCCTTCCATTGTTTACAGTTTAATGACCTCATAATTTATCTTTAAGTTTAACAAATAGATTTATATAGGTTTAACATATCACTACTATAGAGGTACTCATACATTAAAATTAGATTAAATATCCATCGATCAAGGACTAGACTTACGAGACATCAGCCCTTTTTCAGTAATCCATCATTATCAATATTTCTGTACTACAGGAGGTCAGTCGTACCTCGTATAGTTGATTGTTGTCTATGAAGCTGAGTGATGCCGGGGTTTGTATCACACAAGGAGTATAACGTTCCATAAGATTACAGGAATGCCTTACATTGACGCAAATACCTATGGTTGACAAGTATTAAATTAGACTTAGAATACATATTGTGAATTTCATAGCAAGTTATGATTAAAGTAGTTTTAAAAAAGTGTTATGCCATTATCTACGTTACTAAATAATTCAATACTTTGTAAGCAGACTTTATCTATCCATCGTTATTATGATAAGAATTCCGTTCATTTCTGCACTCTAATCTAATGTTTATATTGGAATTTTATGTACACACGTTTTTTGTGGGTAGAATGAAGGTAGGAAAATTCTGTTTTGTGAATTGATTAACCCATAAAACTATATCAGTCCAACTTATTACAATAGTATTATCGTATTATCATAGTTTTATCTAGATAGTCTTTCATGTAGTTTTCCTCTGGTTTGAGTTGATGCGGATATTTCCCAAGTCCTATAGAAAACTGTAACTGACTAGTTGCATACTCCATGTCAGTCAGTCAGCTACAACATAGGATCAGGCACATATGTGCATCGGTTCAAGTTGCCATACCTCATTAGCACAACATGATGAACACACCGTACTCCATGTAAGAAAAACCCAACATAATATCCAGCGCTTTTTATTCACATGAATTACAACTCGATAACTTATCGGTATCATATTGATCGCGAAATTTAAAGTACATAATTCGATCGGATAGGGAATCTCATGTTTGAACACACCTGAAAAACTCTCTAAAATAAGATAATGAAGATAGCACTTGAGATGAGTTGAGCTGTTTTTATGGGCAATATTTTTTGCAATCCTCTCTTTCCACTGTGAAAAGTTGGCATCTCTGTAGAACCTGGTTGTTTGATGGAAATACAACGTAGTATAGTTGATTGTACGATTACTCCCCCATACCTTATGTTTGTTGCCTTTAGTTTTAGTGTTGTCCCAACTAACCTGCCTAGAGTGTTAGTGTGGTATATACTATTTTGGTTGACAGATATAATTAGTATGTAACAGTAATCGGAAGTGGAATATCTGCTAGCAGAAAATTGAAAAAATTAAATTGAAGAGATCAGGAAATGAAACAGAGAGCAATTACAGTAACAACAGAACTGAAAAAATCATAAAACATGTAAAGTCAAACTGAAGGAAGATGTGTAAATGGTTTATTTAATGTGTGGTTTTTATATTTTACGAAGGCATCGTTTAACTTTGAGTTAAACAATAAAATGGTTTACCACACCTGAATTCTCGTTCACTACAGTAATACTTAAAGAAACACGTATTCTGGCCAATATTTCACGCTTATGCCATCACAACAGGCAAGTCTGACCACTTCGTCAAGTTAATAGCTACGTTTGAGTATTCGGTAATGTTTGACTTTCGTTGGTTCACTAATTTATATATCACGTAATTATTTAAAGGATTTTCTGTAAGGATTGTTTTTCCGGTCTATTGATATTAGTATAGAGATTCACTTCTTTTCAATTCATTGACTGAAACCTATCTGTGACTTCACAGATTTGTACCTTGATGGATGGTGTTAGTTGGTGTTCGAATAATTTGAAGGATAAAGGCAACCAAACTAAGAGATAGCATCAATTTAATGAGGTCATTAATTGTTGTTCTGAACTATGTTGATTGGTGCAGACTACCTAGTTGGTGTTTATGCGATAACAGCAATTAGTAGCTAAAGACTTTGGGCGGAACAACTCACAGTCGTTCACAATGACTAATTTACATCCTCTTGATTTTGAATTCTAGTATTCTTTCACTCATATCTTTTCTTTCTGTCTCAGTTTTGGTCTTTGTCATTGTTATTATGTTATTTCAAAGTCATTTCATTCATTTTCATTTGATGTTAATAGTGTATATTTAGAGTTAATTCACAGCTATATCATATTCTACATTGATAATGACTTAACTTTAATGATGATGTTTTGAAGTTGCTAGTATTTTCTTTTCTTATTTCACTTGTTTGTCATTTATTCATCTATTTGAACATATAAATATTGGTACAAAGGGACACCGAATACATATGCATCACACAAGTCACTTGGTTTGTGTGTGGGCTATCATACTTCCCGGGTGCCCAGACCAAAGCAGGTGGTTTTCTTATAGGGTCACATCCGGAAACTTCGACCTAAAGGTCTGATGCAGAAGGCAGTGAAGCAACGTAAGGAGATGCAATCCCATGGTAGCCACTGACCAATAATCGATTCATACGCCATTTATTCCCTCAGGATCCTAGACCCATCCCATGTGCACCATTGGTTTTGAATCAGAGTTTTCCGACTCCTCTAGGCGAATCCTCCATATCCACCAATCCGGACATTCGCTTTTCGACCTCTCAATTTCGTAGACAACAGTAATGCTGCGAGAAGTCAGTGAGTATGACTTCTCTAGTAGTAGCTGTATATGCATGACCATGTGAGAGCATTTTGGGAGAGAGAGAGAGAGCAAGCTATCCCAACCCTCGACTGTACTATGGCATTCGGGGGTAAGAAATGACTATCATAAGTCATTCAGAATTATAAACACATATATTCTTAGCTTAAATTTCTATTCCTCTAAAGAATAGCTACTCACTTTATTTAAATTTGTCAATCTAATTTCCGGTTGTTGGTTAAAATTATAATAAAGAAAACACAGCTATGTCTAGTAATAAATTGTACTTGATTTACATTAAACTCTTCTTTTAGATTAGTTTATGGTAGCCTACATAAATCTTAGATTTATTACTATTTGTCGCAATGATATTGATCAAGTTTGAAGAATTGACCATTAAACTACTTGATTCAAATGTATTTTACTTAATGCTTAATTTAAGTGATTTGATTGAAAGCTTTAAGATGTTAGTTTTGTGTTTTTCTGATACTTGTTATCATCAGAAGCATTAAGGTTTATTAGATGAGACCTAATATGAATTATATTCCAATAGTTATACAAATAGTCAGTCAGTTACAACGTAGTACCAGGCATGTATATAAATCGGTCCAAGTTGCCACACCTAATTAACACAACAAGATGAACATAAAATTCATAGAAGTAGTTACTTCAATAGTATATAAAAAAGATTGTGTATGAGGATATAATACAAGAAGAAAGAATTAGTTGGTAGAAAGAAAGGTATAAAACAATTCAAATCTCACAGTTTAGGGGAGGACAAAGAATACATACACCCTCTCTCTTAAGTGGCCACGTGCATGCAACCAATGCCACAGAAGTCCTACTCAATGCCTTCTCTTAGCCGGGGCATTGTTTGCAAAATTGAGAGGACGAAAAGCGAATGTCCGGTGCTTGAACCGCGTTGGTGGATACGGAGGATCCATCTAGAGGAGTCGGAAAACCCTGATTTTAAATCAATGGTGTACATGGTCTCCAGGATCCTGAAGGAACATATGGCGTATGAACCAATCGTTAGTCTCCAGCTGCCATGGAACTGTATCTCCTCATGTTGCTCTACTACCTTGTGAATTAGACCTTTAGGTCAAAGGCTCCGAGTGTGGCCCCCCAAGAAATCCACCTGTTTTGGTTTGAGCATCCGGGAAGTGTTCCAGCTCTCACACGAATCGAATGGTTTATATGGTGCATACCTGTTTGGTGCCCCTTTGTACCAATATTTATGTGTTAAAATAAATCATTTGTAATTGTCACGCTATATCGATACAGTGGACTAAAATTATCAAAGTAGATTCCAGAGTAGTATAAGTAGTAACAGTATTGACATTAGTGAAAATCATTAGGAATATAAAATATGATTAAAGAAAAACGAATGAATTTGCTGAAGAAAAAGTGTGATATAAAGTTGAAACTCAAAATCTTAAGGATGACATAACATGAATTCATCCGGATCACTATGACCAATTCTGATCCATGTCACTCAGTCGTTATGATTTTGTCGCAGGCACCAAACTCTTTTCACTTGAACGCTACTTGTACATGAAATAACAATGGTTAATCAAGAAGTTATATTTTATTAATGAATTTCCAAAAATATCCTTCTTCATAGTTGGTAAAAACTCAGAAACTTCAGGATACTTTGTATCCAATCAATATTGAATAGAATCTTCGCAAAAGCGTATAGAAAATATCTTAGTTTTGATTGGTTATTCAACTCAATACTTAACATGGTTCCAGATATTTCCAGTAGTCTAAGATAGTATATAACTCTATAAATTCCTTCAATTTTCTTCATATAAACTAACATTGAAGTAAAGCTTTCATTCATAATCTACAGTTGATGTGTAAAAGTATTTCAGAATAGTCTAAGAAGACAATGTAGAAGGTATATAATGGTAACAAGACTAATCACATTCAATGAAGCAAAAAAATTTTTAATCCATCAAACTAATTTATTATTTTACAAAAGAAAATGTACACAGTAATTTCCTTTTTTTTTTGTTTTTTTTTCTGTATTTTCTCTCTTCTAGATATTTTGAATTAAAATTGGCCAGTTTACCTATATCTAATAAGAAGTTTCAATTGTATTCAAGGTGAAAATGTTTTATTATTATTATTGTTATTATTCTGTTTATTTTTATTTAAACACATAAACATTGGTATAAAGAGGTACTAAATAGATATTTGGCACATAAAGCATTTCATTTGTATATGGGCTATTTTACTGCCCGGGTGTTCAAACTGAAGAAGGTGATTTCCTTGGGGAGGGGTCACACCTGAAGCCTTCGACCTAATGATCTAATCTACAATGTAATGGAGCAACATCAGGAGATACAGTCCCATGGTAGCTGATGACCAACGATTCGATACAAGGGTTCATGTGTACGATCGATTTGGAATGAGGGTTTTCCAATTCCCCTAGATGGACTCTCGTTGTCCACCGATCCGGTTAAAGCACCGAACATTCGCTTTTCGTCCTCTCAATTTTGTAAACAACAACCTCGCCACGAGAAGGCAGTAAATAAGACTTCCCTTGTAGTGTCTGTATACGTATGGTCATATGAGAGCATTTCGAGAAAAACAGCGGACTCTCCCCTGTACCCCAAGGTATTAGGGGGTGTTTTTGTTCGAGGTTTTATGCTGGGGTTTTTTGTAAAGTTTATTTATTTACAAATAAATAAATAATTTTCCACTACCTAACAGAAACATTAAAAGAATACACCATCATACAAAATGAAGTGATTAATTAGGAAGGTTCATTTTATTTCAGTGAAAAAAAATATAATCGAAAACTTCAATATTATCTCTATTCTAGAGGTTAAGCATTCGCACGCGAGACTGATAAGTCCTGGGTTCGAATCTTGCAGGGCGGGATCATGAATGCGCACTGCTGAGGAGTCCCATACTTGGATGAAACGGTCTTCTAGTGCTTCTAGGTTTTCAGTGGTGGTCCAACATCAATCGGTTTATGATCTCAATCAAAAACTTAATAATCTTCACAACCCTAGACTGATAATTACCATGTGCTCGCTAGTGACCAACTTCGTGAGTGAATTCTCGGAGTTCTAGTGAACTAATCCGTGTCGGATAGAGACAGGTATCTAACTCAGTACAATGGAAGATGGTCGCGCAATTTCGTGAATTGGTTGAAGTCAGATATTAACGCTGTTGAATGCCGTCTCAGTCGTCTAGTAGGTTAAGCGTTTGCGCGCGAGACGGAATCTCCTGGATTCAGATCCCGATAGCGGGATCGTGGATATACACTGATGAGGAGTTACACAATAGGATGAAACCGCCATCCATCACTTCCAGGTTTTCCATAGTGATCTAGCTTAAATTGACTGATAAATTCAACTATAAAATTACCTCTATTCTGTTTTATTGTAAGCCGTATAGTGATATCATATCAAGCAATGGGATTACGCATGGTTTCTAAAAAAAACTTCAATCAAGGAGAGTCTATCTGTCATGCAATTATACCATTTTATAATATGATTATCCTTTTGAGAATCAGTATTGTACTAAATTAGAATTAGCGTTCATCATTATCACTTGATATGATTAATCAATGTGGATCCTATGATCTTTCTTTATCCCACATATACCATTTAATTTATTGAATACCGTCTTAAGCTTTGACCAATAATAATCCTCAATTAGGAAGATCAATCTACAATTTAAGATTGAAATTATCTTAACGCCCTATTTATCAGGATATAGTTTCCCATATTCATTTAGCTTATAGCTAATAAAACAAAATTAACAACACAACATGCAGATAACTTTACTGGATAGTTCGATTCACAACTGAAATAACTATGATAACATAAAAAGATGCAATATGAACATAAATACTCATTAGGTAGGTAGGTAAGTAAGTATATGACAACTAAATCATTGATCTATAATTAATGAACAATAACTTAAGGAAAGTAAAACAGAACGATAGTGAATGTATCGTATAGGATGATATATAGTGGTACAATTCTCTCGTCTAATAAAAATTGTACACGGAAAAACATATAGACAATAATCATTCGCAAAAAAAAAGAAACAACTCATATCATATTTACTTAAATATAGGAGATGAATAATAGATATCATTAAAAAGAGTGATATTTTATTGACATAAATGAAAATTTGTTTAAATTAAGATCATGAACTGATCAATGTTGCATCATCATAGTTAACCTGAAAGCACTGGACAACTGTTTCTTACCAGTATGGGACTCTTCAGTAGTGCACATCTATGATCCCACTTGTGGGACTCGAACCCATAACCTTCGATTTCGTGCGCGGACGCTTGACATCTAGAACACTGAGCCAGCACTCAGCGGTGTTAATGTCTAATGAAAGACCATCTTCGATTGTCTTCAGTGGGTAACTGTCTCACACTCGACACGGTTCAACTTCACTAGTCATGGCTTTTCACTGGAACTCTGAGAATTGCCCCTCGAAGCTATTCGCTAGTGAGCACATAATGTATTCGATTACCTGTAACTCAACTAGTAATCGATTATAGATCTATTTGCTTGGCTTGAAGCAATTCAATTCATATGAGAGTCAACAGTATGCAAAGTGAAGTATGTGAATCAAGGTTCATACCCGCAAGCGAATGGTTGAGGTTTGAGTTTTTTAATCAAAAAAGCCATCGCTCAATTAATCATTTCATAAATTTGTATACAAAGCCGTGTTAACTAATACAATGAACTGAATAAGTAATGGTAGTTTAATGATTGAAACACTTGTTTTTGAACAGTTTAACTATTTCACCAAGAGGAATGGATAAATTCATGCCCTGGTACGGCCGAGAGTAGGCAGAGTCCACTCTCCTTCTCGAAATGCTCTCACATGGACACGCGTATACAGCCTCTGCCAGGGAAGTCCTACTCACTGCCTTCTCGTGGCGGGGGTGTTGTTTACGAAAATGGGAGGACGAAAAGCGAGTGTCCGGCGCTTTAACCGGATTCCAAACCAATGGTGCACATGGGCTCCACTATCCTGCGGGAACAAATGGCATATGAACCAATTGTTGATCACCGGCTTCCACGGGACTGCATCTCCTTACGATGCTCCACTGCCTTGTGGAACAGACCTTCAGGTCGAAGGCTCCAGGTGTGGCCCACCAAGAAAACCACCTACTTCGGTCTGGGCACCCGTGCAGTATCACAGCTCTCACATATATCGAATGAGATTTGTGTGGCGCATATGTATTTGGTGCCTCCTTGTACCAATATCTATGTGTTAAAATAAATAAATATAAAAATTATCTTCCAAATATTCAACAATGTGAATAAACTGATATAGTTAAGAAAAAAATAAAAGGTTTTTTCCTGCTAAATGAAACCTGTATTAATTAAAATAATATAGACATGGAATGCAACAAAAAACTACCTACCAAATTAAAAGAATCAAATGCTGCAACACAGTGAATAATGAAAACAACATTTTCTAGTTTGAATTGATTGATCTACGCAGTAATACAAAATGGTGATTCATTTCATATGAGAATAGATAGAGTTTATGCACTTATCTGTGTAGTACAGATTAGAATAAAACTTTCATATTTCAATAGAATAACGATATGGTATCATATGCTCACTAGCGAATTCTCGGAGTCCTAGTGAGAAGCCATGACGAGTGGAGTTGAACCGTGTCGAGTATGAGTGAGTTACCCACTGAAGACAATCGAAGATGGTCCATCAATATCATGGATTGGTTGAAGCTAAACACTAACACCTTTGGATGCCGACCCAGTGGTCTAGATGTTAAGCGTCCGCGCACTAGATCAAAGGTTGTGGGTTGCAATCCCATATGGGATATCGTGGATGTGCACTACTGAAGAGTCCCGTACTAGTAAGGAACAGTTGTCCAGTGCTTCGAGTTAACTATGATGATCCAACATTGATTGGTTTATGATCTGAATTAAAACTCAACAATCTCCACAACCCTACTTTAATAGTAATCCCAGTTACACGGATTAATAAAAGCAGTATATGTTTCTAGTAACAACTGTCAACTAACTTTTAGTTTGAGCCATGTTGGTAGATGCAGACTACTTGGTTGGGGTCCGCGTGACTATCGTAACGAATGGTTGGAGACTGTGTAACATGGCTCAGAATCGATCACGATGGCGTCGGTGTATACACTCTCTGTCTTCCCTTAAACTATGAGATTAAAATCGCTTCATATCTTTCTTTCTACGAACTAACTCTTTCTTCCTGTACAATATCTTTATTGCAATCTTTCTATTATATATTACTACCTCTGAATTAACTACTTTTATGTATCCGGTGTCCATCTTATTGTGTTAATGAGCTATGGCAACTTGAACCGATGCATATATGTGCCTGGTCCTACGTTGTAGCTGACTGACTGATTATTATTTTAAACGAGTTTACCATGTCTCACTACGAATCCATAGTGTATTTTGTTATATCTCGAGTTTAACCAATTATATTTATTTTGTTTATTTAAACACATAAACATCGATACGGGGAGGCACCAAATAGATATGTGAGGATTGGGATACTGCCCAGGTTCTCAAAGTGTAGCAAGTGGTTTCTTTAGGGGGCCACACCCGGAGCCTTCAACCTCAAGGTCTAATCCACAAGGCAGTGGAGCAACGTCAGAAGATGCAGTCTCATGGTAGCTGTTGACGAACGATTGGTTCATACCTCATTTGTTCCTTCAAGACACCATTGGTTTCGAACCAGGGTTTTCCAACTGCTTCGGTCTGGGCACCCGGCCAGTATCACAGCCCTCACACATATCAATTGAGGTTTATGTGGTGCTTATGCATTTGGTGCCCCCTTGTATCAATATCTATGTGTTAAAATAAATAAATACCTCCCTTAAGTGGACTCTCCGTGTCCACCAATGTTGCCCCCTGAATGCCCTGGTACGGCCGAGAGTGGGGAGAGTCCGCTCTCCCTCTCGAAATACTCTCACACGGCCACGCGTATACAGCCTCTGCCAGGGAAGTCCTACTCATTGCCTTCTCGTGGCGGGGGTGTTGTTTACGAAAATGAGAGGACGAAAAGCGAATGTCCGGCGCTTTAACCGGATTCCAAACCAATGGTGCACATGGGCT